AAAAAAAAACAAAAGGAAGGACAAATTTTAATAAATTATTAAGAAAAAAGGGGTTTGCTACTTGAAACGAGTACAGGATACATAAGCGCAGAACATTTAAAAGAACATCAAAGAAAGTGTGTACAAATTTTAACTATTTTCCATAAATTAAAGATCTACAAAAAATTTTTTCTCATTAAATGGTAAAAAGACAAAATTTCGACTTGCTTACAATTTTTCACTTTTAACCATTCTTTAGAAAGAAAAAATATCTAAACAAATTTTTCAAAAAAGTTATTTTAATTTCATTTTCGTTTTCTAAGGAAAAGTCTTAGGAATTAAGGCAATTTCGTGCGTAAAAATTAACACAAACATATATGTTAAGGCACCTGAAAACTTTTTAATGTAAATATTTATAATTTTTATGGCAGAAGCTAAATTAGCTGGTAGCTTTGGTCTTAAAAAATAAAAAACATGTATGTTGAAATATTTTTTATTTTTATTTTTTGTTTTTGTGACTCGGCCTAAAATATAGGTTGATATATTATGTAAGTAAATTGTCCACATTTTCTTCACTCTTATTGCACAATAAATTTTTAAATTATAATTGAGCAAAAAATCCTGAAACTCCTTCAGATACTTACAAGTACTGGATAGACAAATGTGTCCGCAGTATCCTTGCCCATGGCATTGCGTGCTATACACCTGTAAGCGCCCATATCTTCCCATTTGATATTCGAGATCAACAAATCGCCAGAGGGTAGAATTTTGAAACGATGATTTTGTTCAATCAATTTGCCCTCGCCATTCATCCAGAAGACCTCAGCACGTGGGCGAGCATGCACCTTACAAGGCAACACAATATTCGAATCGACCAAATCCAAATGGAGCTTTTCATTGTAAACAATGCGTGGTTTTTGTGGGCCAGGGAATGGTTTATCACGCACCTGCACCAGCTCTTTCATATCCGGTTGCGGATAGACGATTGTTGAGCTGTAAATGGTCTTGCCGCCGGTACGACCGACGCAAGTGTAAGTGCGCGCCTCACTTAGCATATGATCGATGATATGCACGGAACGAACGCGCACAATGGCGCTTG